TAGCTAAATTTAAAAGCCAGTATTATTTTACTTCTGATTTGTAAGCCCTATTTTTTTCTATATGATTTAAAAGACAAATGCATTGGTTTCGTACATTTGCCTCTTAAATCATATAGAAAAAAATATGAATCTATGTTAGTGGACACATATGATATAAAAAAGTTGTGACAATAACAACATAAAGGAAAAGAGAGGCATAGGAACAGTTATTTATACTATTAAAGCTAAGTTGTTATTAATTCAAGCCAGTTTACTATATATTTAAGATGTTAATTTTAACCTCCATGGTAGCCACTAAGAAAATAGGAAATATCTAGAAAAGGAAATGAGAAATGAATTAAAATGTATATTACAAAAAGTCAACTAAACACAAAAGAAGGTAGTAACGAAGGAATTGAATAACAAAATATATGTGACATATAGAAAACAAATGGCAAAATGGCAGAAGCAATTCCAGTAATTACAATTCAAAGGATTTGGGTGAGGGCAATGGGACATAATCATGTCACATTTGGATATGTTGGTGTTTGAGGTTTTCTTTGGGGTGGAGGACATCAGGAGGAGATATCCATTCAGCATCTGAAGCTTATCATTGAGAGCTAGTAATATAAAATTGGGACTCAACAGCGTATTGATCAAAGGTTCTCAACCCTGGCTACATATTAAATGCCGTTTTACAAATATCCATGCTTAGGACACCCTTCTTCTCCACACTGACATTTTAAAGTAGCTCCCCAGGTGAATCTAACATGCAGCCAGGATGAAATGTCATATTATAAGTGGTAACTGGAACTGTTAGGAGTTAATATGATCAGGAGGGAGAGTGCAAAGAGATCAGGGGAACTGGAAAGGAAATTTACTTAGGAAATTTACATACTACTTAGGATAGTAGTCTAGTACACTGTCTAGTACAGTAGCCACTAACCACGTGTGGCTATTTAAATAAAATGAAATAAAATAAATTCAATTCCTCAGTTGCATCAGCCACATTTTAAGGACTCAGTGGCTACATGTGGCTCATGGTTACTGTATTGGAAAGTATATACATAAAAGATTTTCATCATTGTAGAAAGTTTTATTGGATACTGCCAAATGACCCAAATTTCTCTTCTGTGTCTGAAATGACTATAATACAGGGGACTCTTTCAATTTTAAGGTTAAAATTGTAGTATCTATATTAAAATTTTGGTACTTTCATTTGCATAATATATTTTCATGGCGATGGACATGTGTGTTTTTATTTTTGTAAGCTTTTTCTTCTACTTCTCTCCAATGTCCAGGGGAGGTTTATATAATCACTAACATCTAGACTAAATAAAGGTATTTTATTTTCCCTTAGATGAAGACGTGTAAAATTTATATACACATGTCACTCAGCTGTATGGGGGATTTTATTTCCCTCAAGTCAATCAGCTGCATGGGGAATTTTAAATCTGTTGCTCAACACTCGTTGTCACCTTGTCTGCATGATGTTACTTGAGGTAGTCAAGGTAAAAGCAGAATGGAATGACACTGGAACAGCAAATAATAAGCAGTGAAATTAGTTAAAAGTCTGTGTTTGATTACTAGTCTTGGATTGGCTTTAATCCCAGATCCCACAGGCCATCAGAAATGAGCTTGTCCCATTTCCATTGCCCCTTTATGTGACAATGTTCACACAAGAGCTTATTGGCCAAACTTCCTTAAATGGGGCAAAGGGACTACTTTACAAAATTTAAAAAAAATGATAATAGTTAGGGAATCTGAGTCAATGGTACATGGGAGTTCTTTGTACTAATTTTATAACTTTTCTATGTCTCTGAAATTATCTCAAAATTGCAATTACTTAAGCCAGCAAATCATGAATACATAAAATCAAACTATATAGCTTAAAATAAAGGAATCTTTAATGTCTTCTTCCCCCATGCATTTTAAAATGAACTCATCCTTAATACACATTTTTCTACCCAGTTTTCTTAATATTGTATAGGAATTTTTCATACATAATTATCTGTAATAACACTCTTTTCATATACTGCCCTTCCCACCACCAATTTCTCGTGTGGGGAAGTCGCTCTGACAGGTGAAATTGAGACAGTATGCTTTCTACCATCATGTGTTAAAATACCATACTAAAATGGCTACATAATATTTCATTGGGTCATGTCAGGTATACCTCAATGTATTTAACTAGTCTCCAGCTTGGGAATGTTTAAGGTTTCTTCCCTTGATCTACATTGTTGTAAATGAAGCTGAGATAGATATTTCTGTACATAAAGATCTTCACATATATCCAGGTTATTTGCTCAGTATAGCTTCCTAGAAGTTACTGGCCCAAAACCTGGAACCATTTTTAAAGCTCTCAATACGTACTGCTGAACTTCTTTCTAAATTATTTTATTAGTTTACCAGCAGTGGCTTTCTAAGGGGAAAGAAAACATATCAGAAATCTGAGGAAACAATCAACAGTTGACTGGATTTAAAAAATGTGGAATAGTATGCAGCCATAAAAAGAAAGAAATCATGTCCTTTGCAGCAACATGGGGGGCACTGCAGGCCATTATTCTAAATGAACTAACTCAGAAACAGAAAACCATACCATATGTTCTCACTTATAAGTGAGAATGAAAAAATGGGTACACATGAACATAAAGATGGAAATAATAGACACTGGGAACTCCAGAAGGGAAGATAACAGAAGGAGAATGAGGGTTGAAAAAATACCTGTCATGTAGGGTTCACTATTTGGATAATGGGTATACTAGAAGCCCATTCCCCATCAGTATGGAATATACTCATATAACAAACGAGCACATGTATCTCCAAATCTAAAATAAATAAATAAAATAGAAATCCCAGGAAACAGATGTGAACCTCAGTTTCTTCATGCACAATGTATAATTTATGATCCAAAGTCCCTTCTCCCTCATACATTCTTAAGATTCCCTGAATCTGTAATAAATGAATAAGGTGTCATGAATGAAGCACATTTAAGATGTTCCAACAGATGATACTTTCATCTTGTGAGAAAGATTGAGGAACCTTTCAACTGATGGTCTGCAGATGTGGTAAAAATAGCAAGAGAACTCAAATTCGAAATGGAGCCTGAAGATGTGAATGAATTGTTGCAATCTCATAAAACTTTGATGGATGAAGCGTTGCTTCTTATGGATGAGCAAACAAAGTGGTTTCTTGAGATGGAATATATTCCTGGTGAAGAGGCTGTGAAACATTGTTGAAATGACAACAAAAGATTTAGCATATTACATAAACTTAGTTGATAAAACAGTGGCAGGGTTTGAGAGGATTGATTCCAATACCGAAAGAAGATTTACTGCAGGTAAAATGCTATCAAACAGCATTACATGCTACAGAGAAATCTTTTATAAAAGGAAGAGTCAATCAATGTGGCAAACTTCATTGTTGTCTTATTTTAAGAAATTGCCACAGCCACTCCAACCTTCAGCAACTACCACCCTTATCAGTCAGCCTGATCAGTCACCAGTCAGCAACATTGTGGCAGGACCCTCCACAAGCAAAAAGATTATGACTCACTGAAGACTCAGATACTCGTTAGCATTTTTTAGCAATAAAGTATTTTAAAATTGAGGTTTGTATATTGTTCTTTAAACATAATGTTACTGCATACTTAATGGGCTAGAATATAGTGTAGACATACATTTTATATGCACTGGGAGATGAAAATGTTTGACTTGCAGCATTCACTTTATTGCAATGGTCTGGAACTGAACCTTCAATATCTCTGAGGATGCTTGTATAAGCATTTGAACATCCCTCTGTTTCAGGGCAGGACTTTGTTAAGTGAGTTCCAAATTTATCTGCTTTTTTTTCCCAGTTATATAAATGCATGGAGGATATGAATGTCTTGAGCATTGCTAGCACTAAATGAAATTGTAAAGATCAGTGTTAGCTGAAGTTATTGGGTGGTGGTTAGGAAAGGTATATGGAAGAGGTAGAAATTGAGCTGATTTTTAGAGGCTGGTTAGGATTTAGACAGATGTAGGAGTAGAGAGAAAAATTCTGTTATGTGTGGGGTGGGGATGGAAGTCAAGGGTGAGAATTGGTACTATCTTGAATAGGACGGTATTTAGGAAAAGGGGGAAGAATGTAGGAATACGTAAGCTGGACCTACTTGTTGGAGGATATTGAACATTTGGTTGAGAAGCTATGACTTGATCTTACAGGCATTAAAGAGACACTCTAGGTTCTTAAAGAAGTGATCAAGAAAGCTGTATGTTATAAGGTGACTCCTATGGCTGTGTCAATGGTGACCTAGAGTAGGAGAGAATGGGACTGTGTCATAAGTTAATAGATTCTATCTAAAATGGTGGCAGTCTTAATGGAGAAGAAGAGAATTGTAGAGTTATTGCAAAGGAAGATGAAAAAAGCCTTGGTAATGAATCTAGAGAATGAAGCATAGGGGGAACCTCTAAATCATATCCAGTTTTAAGCCTTGGTGACTGGAAGAGTTATAGTGCTGCTATCTGTGTGGCTGAGAAAGGCCATTCACTAGGCTGATTACTGGGGCCCTGATATTTCCAGGAGAATCTGAGTTCCTGTCAAATAGATTCTATTTTTTCATGACTTCCACTATTCTTCAGAGATGCTTAATTTGCTTTTTTGGTTTTCATTTGGCAGAAACTTTTAACGTTTTAACTTTGTTTCTCTGCCCCGGAGAGTTCTGCCAAATAATGATCTTAAATGCTTAAATGCACTCAAGAAGTTCTGCTGAGTACTCCTTTTATACTGCAATCACCTTCAGTGTGACTATCTCATAAATTTCTCATTTTGCATATTGGGTGCTCTAAAATCAGGTCAACCTTATTGTTACCCAGAAAGTTTTACTTTTGTACAAGGTCATGTTTCCTGCAAAGCTGGTTAATTCTGGACATTCCTGCCTGCACCAACATATATTAACACTTAAAATATTACAGTAGAACATCTTCAAAATAAATGAGAAAAGCTTATCAGGGAACTTATGTGGAAATAATGGTACATACCTCTATTTGTAAATTGGTGCAGTTTAAAAATATTGTCCTGGGAATTAGGAGACGTGGATTGTAGTCCCAGCTCTGCCACTAATTTGAAGTATGAACTTAGGCAAGTCACATTACCACTTCTTTATGTCTTCATTTCCTTTTCTGAAAAATGAGGGGGAAAGACAAGGTGATTATTATCGATGTCAGCCCTAACATCAACTATTTATTAACACGATAAGTGTTTGCAAAGTATTACCAACAATTATGGTACTTAGGGACTACTGGGTTAGATATAGCACCAAGTGAGGACACATTTATCAGTTAGCTATTTCTTTATTCTAGGAAGACAGGCAAATGGGATGATTCAGGCTAAAAGAAATGAGGTTTGAGATTCAGTTATCAGTTTAGGCTCTTTTATAGATAAACTAGATAATCCAGATAGAATCTCAATTCACTTTGACACTGAGGCAGGGGCAATCCAAGTTAGGATTGTAAACCTGTATTCCAAAGGTAGTACATCTTGACTCAGAGATGGAGTTGGTCTGATTTTCTGAAATCTATGACTGCAGCCTCTTGAGTACTGTTTCCCAGAAATAACAATCATACTACTCAAAGCCATCTTAATGAATCGTTGTGATCAGTGTGATTTTCATCTTAAGGGAAACCAGCCCAAGATCTTTCCTCTAAAAGAAATTCTGAGGAGTACGTTGTTATAAGAGGTTTTCCTCTATTGTGTCCCTTCCAAAAATTAAGACTATTCCCAGAGTCTCTCTATTGCCTACTAATGATTGCTTATGATTCTATCATTTATAACTTAACCTAAGCATTTCAGAAATCTGGATGAAAGATCACCTGGAATTCAGGATGCTCTCTGTGGGCCCTATAAAATATTGCTGTAAGTTTAATTTATTTAGGCATATAATCTAGTTCTTCAATATCTGCTGAGCCCCCAAGTAAATGAAGGAGCATACTAACACATATAATATCTCTGCTCAACAAGTTTTTCATCTTCTGACTCAATTTAGTCCTCTTTCTCTCATGCTGTCTATTCTCCCACATACCCATTGCATCTACCTTGCTCTGCGGATTAAGTACTCATGTGAAATGTGTCCTTCTTGGCTGCCAACTTTGGCTTCATTTAAATGTTCTGCCTCTCTGACTGCCTCAGGTTACAATTACCCCATCTTGTATCTTTTGCCCTTTGGCCACCATGTTCCCTTTAAGCTCAAGAGATGATTCTTTCCTTGGGCCCTTTACCAAGTTGGACCATGCTTACAATCCTTTTTAGTGACAGGGACCTTCCCCACTTTAGATTTCTTCTTGCCTTAGAAAAATTCAGAAATCTGAAGAAGGTACCCTTCAAATTCCAACAGCTGTGTAGATAGGGGGAAAGTCAATTCTGTTCATTTCCTTCTAGAGTTTTCCAATCTAAATTACTCTTAATCGACTCCACCTACAGTAGGCATTGAGAGGTTGCCTAGGGTTTGGGGTTAGGAAGTAGGAAGAAAACTTTGCTAGGCGAGTGTGGGGCACAGGAAAGAGTGATACAAAATTTTTATAGGAGCAAGGTGTCAGCAGTGTTCTGCCCCTGGGAACTCAGTGTGGTTGATTGGGAATTTGCACTTCCTGCTTGCTGCATGGGTCTAACAGCTTTGTGCAGGAATTGCTAATTATGGTTAGAGGGGCTTGGTCTGGTTCTTAGCACTCTCCTTCCTCAAAGATCTGGCTCTTAGCACTCCCCTTTCTCAAAGGTTGTATGTATTCCACATATTTACAGTTAGATTCTCAAATACCACCCATTTCTAATTTCATTTTTAAATCTTGAAAAAAATATATTATCTTGAACTTGTCAAAAATGACAATTTCCTCACAAACCCCATTGTCTTTAGAAAAGTAGTCTTCCTAATTTTCCGCTGGTTTCTCATTATGGTCTTCCTTTTCTTTACTTACATAAACTGCTGAACATTTCTAGCTTTTTAATATTTTGGCATGGCTACTGTTGTAAAGGTATTTTAAACTTCTGAGGTCTATAGATGGCCTTCTTATCTTTATCTTCTTCCAATTTTTCCCCCAACATCAGAATGTTGTCCTGGATATGAGCAAGATAAAGTGGTTAGCAGCTCATGTGACCTTCGCTGTTAGTGGGTAGTCAGGCCAAGCTAGGAGGAGACATCAGCTATTTTCTTAGTATGTAAAAACTCAGTCCTATATATGTATATATTGGGACTGACTTTCTGAAAGTCAATGAAAAAGGCACTTTTTAATTGGAGAATTGCTGCTTTCTCTTTTTAATTTCCCTCCTACATCTATTTCCATTGCCTCTGCCAAGTACATAGCCTATGAGCCAATGATGCAAGGCCTTGTTCTTACTTAGCTATCTACTATCCATAAAGGTAATAGCCGATTAAAATGCTTAAAGTATTACTACTCACAGGAAATACCTTGCCATTTTAATAGAGGATTCTTAGAAATTGAAAAGAGTTCAAGATCTGTAGTAATGAATTTTTAATGCTGGAATTCTGAGAATAATATTTTTCCTCTGGAGAGAGAAAAGTGGTCAAATGCTTGCTTTTTGTATTTTTTAGAGTAGCTTAATTCCCTTAGTGAGCAGGGAGCATGCACCATGTCCCTAGGTGGATGAATTCTTCTCCTTGCATACAGGCTTATAGTGATGTTTCCACAGTGATTCTAATTTCCAGAGATAGAAGCAGTAGTGTACTGCAGATTGCTCATACTATCTCACAAGAACAGATCGTTAAATTTCTGAAATATTGTCAGCTGTTTTTCTATACAATTATTAAAAATTAAATTATTTCAACTTAAAATTAAATAAATTACATTAAAACAAAGTAATACTGAGAACAAAGTAATTTCCTATTTATTTTACTTCATTTATAGGAGAATCTGTGCTCCTGAGGTTATTTATATCTATTTTATTACATATGTTGTAGAAATATTACATATGCTGTTAACTTGAAATTGGCCATAGCGGGAGTATGTATACAATATACATTGGCAAATGCTACAAATTAGTGCTAGATTTATTGTTTTGTTGACAGTCTAGGGTTAAAGAGGTGATGGGGAAAATAATGCATATTAAACTTGAAAGTGTGTCATGGAGGGGATTTTCACTTCTAGCTAAAATAGAGTAACAGGGACTAAATTTAACCTCTTACTTGAAACAACTAAAAAATAAAAGAAAATATGTAACACAGTGATTTTCAGGACATAGGGTATTAGCCAATGAAAAGCAGTGGTCTCTGAGAGATGAACAAGAGTGCCAAGACCATTCAGTGTGGTTAAAATAGTGTCTTTAAAGAAATGTTGCTGAGATAACTGGTTATCCATATGCAAAATTACAAGAACTAAATCAAAATGAATCAAAGATTTAAGTGTAAGAGCTAAAACCCATGAAACTCTTAGAATAAAACATGAGAGTAAATCTACATGACCTTGGATTTGGTGAAAGATTGTTGCACAGGTAACAAAGGTAAAAATAGACAAATTAGGCTTTATCAAAATTGAAAACTTCTATGTTTCAAAGGACCCTACCAATAAAGTGAAAAGACAACCCACAGAATGAAAGAAAATATTTGAAAGAAAGTCATATATCTGATAAGGTATTTATATATAGAACACATATAGAACTGTTACAATTCAATAATAAGGGCAACCTAATTTAAAACTGAGCAAAGAATTCAAATACTCATTTCTCCAATGAATATAGATATACAAATGACCAATAAGAACATAAAAAGATTAGTCTTTAGGCAAATGCAAATTAAGGAGAAGCTACTTTACACCCATTAGGATGGCTATAATAAAAAATATTAGAAAATAACAAGTATTGATGAGAATGTGAAGAAACCAGAACCCTCTTATACAGTTGTTGACGATAAAATGGAGCATTCACTTTGGAAAACAGTCTGACAGTTCCTCAAATGGTTAACTAGAGTTAAAATATGATCCAGCAATTCCAGTCTTAGGTATACACTCAAGGAAAATGAAAACATATGTTTATGTAAACACACACACACATGTTTATAGCAGCATTATTCATCATAGCTAAAAGTTAGAAACAACCCACATGTCCATCAACTGATAAGCAGATAAACAAAGTGCAGTATATCTGTACTATATTATTTTTCTATAAAAGAAATGAAGTACAGATATATGTAACAACATGAATGAATGTTGAGAACATCAGGTTAAATGAAAGAACCCAGTCACAAAAAAAGCACATAATATATGAACCCATTTTAGTGAAATGTTTAGAATAGGCAAATCTATAGAGACAGAAGGTAGATTATTGGTTGCTTAGGTCTGAGGGAGATAAAGGACTTGACACGTGATAGGTGAAGGCTATATGGTTGCTTTTTGAGGTGAAGAAAATGTTCTAAAATTTGCTATTGCATATATCTGTGAATATACTACAAGACACTAAATTGTATATACTTTAGCAGGCACTTTACATGTATTCACCTTAGCAAGCACTTTACATGTGAATTACACCTCAATTAAAACTGTTAAAAGATATAAGGTAAGCAGAAATATTAAATATTTTTTAAAAAGGACCTAAATTGAACTTTTAGAGATGAGAAGAACAATCTCTAAAGCTAGTAGTGTACTACATCAGATTGATGGTGACAATGAAGAAGAAACATTTGAATACATAGCAATAAAGATATCAAAAGTAAAGCAAACAGAAGCAAAAGAACATAATATCAGCAATCTAGGACAACTTCATAGAAGCATCATATGTGTAATTGGATCCACCATAGGAGAAGAGTAAAAGGGGTTGACAAAGAAGGTATTTGAAAAGTAGTGCTTGAAATACCTTTTAAATTTGATGAAAAACAAACAACCCCATTCAAAAGTGGGTGAAGGATATGAACAGACACTTTTCAAAAGAAGACATATATGAGGCCATCAAACATATGAAAAAATACTCATCATCACTGATCATTAGACAAATGCAAATCAAAACCACACTGAGATATCATCTCATGCCAGTTAGAATGGCGATCATTAAAAAATCTGGAGACAACAGATGCTAGAGAGGATGTGGAGAAATAGGAACACTTTTACACTGTTAGTGGGAGTGTGAATTAGTTCAACCATTGTGCAAGACAGTGTGGCAATTTCTCAAGGACCTAGAAATA